ATAATCTCTCCACCTGGTCCTCGGTCTGCCCCGTGGCCTCCTCCCAGTAATTGGACAGTTCTATTTTATTAAGTATATATAATATAATATAATATAATATAATATAATATAATATAATATATAATTATTTAAGTAAAAATGGCACAAAAAAATCACTGTTTCCAGCTTCTCAAATGTAAAAAAAGGTTCTGATTTTCTTCAATGATACATTCAAAACAATCCTATATTTATACTTAAGAAATTCAAATGAAAAGCTATTCCATATCTAAACTTCCAAACAAATGTTAACTGATCATGGAGTTAATTATGTAAACTATGTATATTAATGTGTGTGTGTGTGTGTGTGAGAGAGTGTGCGTGTGTGTGTGTGTGTGTGCGTGTGTGTGTGTAAGATTGTACCATCCAGATGACCACATTAATGATGAGGACCGTGGGCACTCCTCCAAACGGCAGACCCTGGAGGACACTGCTGCGCGAGTGTGCGCGGTAGCATCTCTCAGCAGTGCTGTTTTCCTCCCCGAACGAGTCCAAGAAGCTCACAACATCCAGCTCCACAGCTCCCCCCTCCACAGGGGGCGCTCTCGTCACAAACAGCTCAGAGTGTGCCATCACCACTGGACCATACCTGAAGGAAAAACAGAGACAGAGATCATTAACCATTATGGGTCAACTGTTGGGCTTTGAGACACACCCGTTAAAGCTCTCAGGTGCCGACACACACGCTGATTTATACTGCAAACTGTAAATTAGTGAGTGTCTTTTAATTAAGTCCACTATTCCAATAACTGTTAAAGCGACACTTTTGCTTTAACTTTTGCTTAACAGTGGACACTGCAGCTACAAGTGACAATTTTCAGTCAATGCTAAATGCTAGCATTTTTAGTAACATACTATTTAGCATTTATCTAAAATGGTATACAGTCAGCAAGCAAAAGTTGGCGTTTTAAAGGTCCAGTGTGTACCATTTAAGAGGATCTAATGGAATATAATATTCGTAGGTAGGGCCTTTAGTGTTTTTTGTGAGTTCTGTGGCCACCGTAGTTTCTTCTAAATGGTTGTAAGGGGAGGGTGAGCAGAGTTGGTTGGCCATTAAATACACACTAAGTGTTAGGGATGTAATTTGTTGCCATAGCACCCATCTTTACAATATTTTACTTACCAGTATTTACATAGACTGAGAATTAAATTATTGTATTTTAATGGAAACCGTGATTAAGGGTGTGGTGTTGGCCATAAGCAACGAAATTGAAATTTAAAAGTCTTTTTTTTTTCTTTTTTCTCAGACAAGTGTCTACCACTTACTCTAAGTGCAGTTGTGATAGCCTTTGCAAGGATCCATCTAATGACCACCATGGTCCATTAGCAGCCATTGATCTCTGGGTTTCTTTATCTGACAAATGGAAACGGAGACGTCACATGTAAGTGACAAACTGATTGGATGACAGATATACTGCAGGCTTTTTTAAAAACCATAACATGCAAAGATGCTAACAAGCCCATTGAACTATGCAGAGAGCATTATTTCTGTTGTGAGAATGAAGAGACTCAGTTTAAGAGTAAAAGCCTAAACTGTGTACTCTGCCATTTGAACAACTTGTTGAGGATTGACAGTTGTTGCCACTTTTTGTGTATTTTCTTTTCTGTCTAGAGAAGCAGGTACAGGATATGATCATTCACACTGGCATGACCACAGAAAGGAGGTCTGAACCATCTGTCCTCCAGCAACACACACTCTCCTCACTTTCAATCAATACAGTCCCGACTCCCGGCTGCTCAGCCTGTGTACACACCTCACTGAATAAACAGTCTGAGGAAATGGAGCAGCAGCAGAGTGCTGACAAAGCTTTGCATCAACACCGCGATTCCACCTGAGTGAAAGACATCAATCATCGGATTTCATGGGAAATATGAGATTCCACAATATATTCAGCGGTGTTGTTACTGTGACAGGACAACGTGCTCTGTAGTAAACACACCGAGTGCTCTGCAGCAGTAAATGGCAGCCAAAACTGCATCACAACCCTCTGCTGTCCAACTCTCACAAGAGCTGCGAGGTAACACGAGACTGAAACAAGTGAGGAAAGGGAGAGGAAGCTAAAGGCCTCCAAACTGGCACATGTTACAGAACCCAACCTTGGTGCGATTTATCACTGCGTCAATGATGTCACAGTTTTGTGAAGCATTTTAACAAACGGCACTTATTGTGCAACAGAAGCCACAGTAGGATGTCTAATGTTGGAGGCGGGCTGATCAATGGCAGTGCTGCTGGACTGCTGTACATCACACTGTCAGAGAGCTCGGGAGAGGTACAGAAGTATAAAAATACAACACTGTAATCTTTTAGAAGCTCTTTCTGCACCACTGTGGTCTCTGTCTCACTTCCTGTTGTGAAACTGTATAGCTTGCAGTCAATATTCAGATACTGTCACATACACAGCATCTGAGTCTCCCTGTGGACACAACTGGGAAGGAGATTCCCTGAGGATGGATCAAAAAAGCAAATCCATAATGCACACACACACAGTCTGCAGAGCTTTGTTTTCAGAGAAGTCGATTCACCATACATCACTATTTCTCTCTCCACCAATAATGGATTAAGCCATCAATATGCACAAAGATATTATTTTACAGCTGAAAATTGATTAATAACTAGGCTTACAGTACAAGAAGAGAGCATGCAGTTCTCTGAGACAAAAATAACAACTCCTCTCATTATACGCTTGAGCACATGAATTATTTTAGTAGAGTATAATAATGTTACTTTAGTTTTATCATGAACATTGAATTAACCAATGTAGGCGAGGATTTGTGTCTAAAATAGCATTTTGGAAACACAAACAAATCAACGGACAAACTAATAAACTGATTTACATGAGATTTTGAAGTTGAGTGTGAATTCAATAGTTGATTTTTGAAAAAATGCTTTCCTTGTGATAACACTATATTGTTTGCATTTGCTTGTGTTTTTGAATCATCAAGTCGAAAAGCCTAAATTGGAAAGCTGCAGTAAAACAATGATGGATGAGCTTATGGTAGCAAACAAATCAGACAGCAACCAGGTGAACTGTTAACATACAGCAACAGGAACTAAATCAAACAAAATGATGCCTTACTACGAAAGACAATACAACTAGCTGTAAACTGGAAGCATACTGGAGCTCTAACAAAGTTTGACATGCAGAAGCTTAAACAGACCTTTTATCGTCTCATTGAGCTGCTCTTCTTCCTTCATCAGACGAGTCATTCACTTTGAACACTGCAGGCTGCTGATGCTAACAGTGAAACTCTTCCTCTCCACCTCCAGGACAGAGCAGGATGCTGAGGGATACAGGCTGTGGTGCTATGGCGTGGTTTCACACAACATTTGGTCAAACGTCACAGCATGACTCAGCAGTTTAACCACAAGACATGGATATTCTCTTTCTGTCTCACTCATATATAAACACTCAAACATGCGCGCAGTTATCCCATGGTATCCATTTCCTCTGCAAATTTGAAGTCTTTCTAATCCTTTGCCTCTCTGCTCATTTCTCTCTTCCTCATCCTTGAATCAGGCTGCCAAGCCAACGCAGCAGATTACAAACTGATGTTTGGCTTGGGATGCAGCATTGTGCCTCCCGCTGGCAGCATGAGTGAAATCTCTCCTCTGTGCTCAGTTAGACTATTATGGTCACAAATGCTGAAGCCGCGAGCTGGTAATGAGATAAACCTGAGTTTGAGTCAAAGAAGCAGAAAAAATGGCAAGCTGTATAGAAGAAAAGCTAGCTCAGGTCAGCTAATATGCTCATTGCACCAGAAAAAAACAGCTGAGCTATCTGTGTGTGTGTGTGAGTGAGAGAGAGAGAGAGAGAGAGAGAGAGAGAGGATCATCCCTGAGGTGATACAGACAAAAACAATTAAACCCTAAGTCAGAAGATCAATAACTTGCAGTTAAACCAGATTCAATCCAGATGTCTATCATCACTCCCTCATAATATTTTGATTAAATCAGCTTCAAGTGTAGCCGTACCATGTGACTGTAAAAAGCACCATTATTTTGGTGCTGTCACCAACTATACATTTTGGCTTAAAGAGACAAAAAGACTATAGATTCTACACACACTTTGAGATTAATTATATAGTTTACAATGACCATAAAGAAATCCTGATGTTCAGTGGGTATAATGTTTACCATGTTTAGTTTAGTATGCTAGCACACTGGTTTTCAAACTGGGGTCTGGGGACCAACAGGGGTCCTTGAATGTGTTGTAGTGTGTGTTGGTCCCCAACAAAAAGAGGAATAAAAATATTTTAACTTTTATCAAATTTTATGGGAAGTTGACAAGGGAACAAAAAGGGCAGTGCATTTTTATTGATTGTAATTTATTGTGATTCTAGTTTAATCATTGATTACCTTTGATAACTTTAAATATCTTCAAACCTAAAAAAATTCTCAGACACTACTCCTTATGACAAAATCCTCTCAAGTTGGGTGTCTGGTCTATGTGCATCTATTGTGGGGGTCCTTGACATAAAAAAGTTTCATATATAGTCATATAGGATCACCAAAGTTATTGCAATTCATGTTGAGATAGACACGAATGTCTGTACCAAATTTAATGCCAACCTATCCAAAGGTTTTCGAGA